TACTAGGGGCTCATGGCCTTACTACTAGGAGCAAGGACGCTACTAGGCAAAGGGCATCGCTACTAGGAGCAAGAACGCTACTGGGGGCTCCTGGCCATACTACGAGTAAAGACGCTACTAGGGGCTCATGGCTCATGGCATCGCTACTAGGAACAAGAACGCTACTAGGGGCTTCTGGCCTTACTACTAGGAGCAAGGACGCTACTGGGGCTCATGGCATCGCTACTAGGAACAAGAACGCTACTAGGGGCTTATGGCCTTACTACTAGGAGCAAGGACGCTACTAGGGGGCTCATGGCATCGCTACTACTAGGAACAAGAACGCTACTCGGGGCTCCTGGCCTTACTACTAGGAGCAAGGACGCTACTAGGGGCTCATGGCATCGCTACTAGGAACAAGAAAGCTACTAGGGGCCCCTGGCCTTAACTTACTACTAGGAGCAAGGACGCTACTAGGCAAAGGGCATCGCTACTAGGAGCAAGAAGGCTACTAGGGGCTCCTGGCCTTACTACTAGGAGCATGTGGGGTGTTCTCTTTTTTGTCGGACTTCCCTCTCTTGAGAAGAACCCCAAAAGAGACTTTCTGGCATGTTGCTGGATTCAGAAGATGAATCCACCTACTGTAACTAATACACAATAACCATTGGCCTTGAATTGCAATAAGTGGCTCCTCACAAAGCTTGATTCATGATTCATCTAAGAGGAAGCCTCCGTACGTCGTCTCTCCGCAAAACCTTTCGGAATGGTCATCGTGTAATGGCTGAGTGTACAGGAGAAATTTGTTGGTAAGATTGATAGAGGTCGCTCTCTAACCAAAGGATGTTCACTCACCCATCTCCCAAAAAGGATCCGAATTTCTGGGCCTCGTCTCCAAGTCCAAGACGTACAAATCATCGAAGCAGCTGGAGCCGTCAAAACCACCGAAGATGTAGAGGTACCTAGCTCGTTGTTCACTCATGTTCACTCCAGGACTCTGGGAAGCTCGGTTTCCCACACAGCTTGGCCAGGGAGAGGATGCAAA